CGCCGAGGTCGGGGGTGCGGGGCCGGCCGAGCCTTGCGGGCACAGCCGAGCCACCCACGCTTGGCGTGGGACACAGAGGTGCTGCGGGAGCAAAGTGAGGGCTGCCCGAGGGGGTTCTCCCCGTCGGGAGATTCCCCCCCCACACACACTCCTTCGAACATGTCTCCAAGCATGTTTCTGCCTGGGATCAATGGGCCACGTCAGGGAAGGGTAGGGAGGTGAGGATGAAATTAGAGAAAGGAGCGGATGTGCCTTTGAGGGAGTGGGTGTTTTACAGGGAAATTCTCCCTCCACCATCAAGTAAGTACTATACAGAAGGTGCAGTCCAAATCAGAAGGGAGCAGTTGAGCAACCAACGGGAGAGAGAAGAAAGACTAAGACAGAAAAGACACTTTCCACTCCAGGGTCTGAAATATGAGGGAGCCAGAAAGTAATTTCCTCAGATCCTCAGAAACAATCAAACTTTTCATCATAAAGTGATGAGGAAAGACTGTGCCTGACCCTGGGAAAAGAGAAAGAAATAGTAGAGACAGCGCTGGGCTATAAAGCAACCTGTCACTGCATCAAGAGTGGACACAGATGACAAATGGACATATAGTACCAAACCTGTGCACAGCATGATGCCTGGAACAGATTGTGCCAACTTTTGACAGACACCTGAGGGGTCTGAGTCTATTGTTCTTTATCCGGCCATGAGTTCCCACACCAGTGAAACAAATTGAATTGAGCGCTCATGTGTCAGGATGTTTGTGTCTCGTGCATATTTTTGTAAGCGTGTTTTGGAGCATGTTTTGGAGAGTCAATGGGTTTTTCACAAGTCTGGGGAGTAATGTTTGTGTGTGTCTCTTTGGACTACCGGCACATGGATGTGGTTTTGTTAATGCTTAGAGTCACTGGAAGGTCAGGCTGTTGGACTGTAGACTCATCACAGTCTGAGTTTGTGTGAGACAGTGTCACTGTGTGTCAACACCTCTGAGTACCTCGCCTTTCGTCCCTCTCACAAACACTGGGTTTTATGTCAGACATTATCTAGACTTCTGTCTCATTCTCCAGCCTTTTCATCTACAAACTTCCTGGGGCTTGTACAAATGATCTGTACACACCTCTCTCAGCTAATCCTCATCTCACTCATCTCAAGCAATCACTAGTATAGACACGACCAGGGACAGCCCAGAGCAGAGCCAAGACACACTTCTCTCCATTGCAGAGCATGCACCCTAATGCTGTGCAACCTGGTGTGCAGCTTTTCTTGCTCTCTACGTTGGCTTCCTCCTGCCTCCCCACCTGGGGGTAATGGAGGGGGAGCTTACCACCAAAAAGCTCCAGAAGGGGCTACATCAGCCACATAGGCTCTTTCTGACCTTTTCAAATTCTGACAAATGTGTTTAGTATAATTGGGAACCACAAACAGATGAGAAAATTCAACTGGGGAAAGGTCAGTTAAAGGGCAAAAATCCAAATGACGCAAACACTGAAAATCCCCCTGAAGAGCAAAACCACAGAAGGAAGCAGAAGGAGCCAGAGATATGAGAGGGGATGGAGGAAGATGCTGTAGAGATCAAGGAAACCCTGGGAGAGATGGGTGGAGAGTCAGGGAAACCACCAGAGTGATGGGACCAGTGAGCTTCAAGAGCTAATGCCACTCTTCTAGGTTAATAGGATGTAAAGGGAAAGGCATATTGTTTCGGTTCAGACAAGCAGGTCAGAATGGGGCTAAGGAGGTACTCTGGATGGGGTGGATCATGTTAGCCTTCCTTTAAAGGCTAACGTGAAAGTACAGGGAAATTTGATTGAAGAGATGGTGTTAGCTGGCCCAACGCAGTGGCTGAAGGAGGGGCATTGGGGTAGTTCGGGGAAGAGGATACAAGAGTGATATAAAGTGTTATTCTGAAGGTGTTAAAGTGAAGGTGATATAGTGATGGAAAGAAGACAAAAATGCAGAAATTATTTCTGTTGTGTATTTGACCAGGATCTGGAGCAGGATCAACGTATGTCATGTGAGGACAATGAAACATCTTTCTGCCCCGTCATACCTGGGAAGCACATGAGGCTCTTATTTCTGCTAGGCATAATCACTTTAAAATCATCATGTACAGATCGTTTATTCCAGAGTCTTAAGGTTGAGTGGCTGGGGAGATCTCTGATCCACTGCTTTCTAGCACTGCTTCCTAAGGGTCGTGAGGCTCGTGTGGTTGCCCTGCTACCTGGAGAAGTTTGTCTGTCCATCTGTTTGTCTGTCAGTTGCCCTGCTGTGGAACCCCTGGGCTCGTTTCAGCCAAATTCCACAAAAGAAATAGAGTCTAAAAAGTAAGTAAGTTCCAGTAAGTGGTATGAAAACCGGCAGCCTGATAGAAGAAAGAGACACTGTTGGTGGCTGTGCTGAAAGCCCTTAGCCATGCTGCTGGGCAAAAATCCACATGTCAAAGCAGTCCAGCCAGCAGGCAAAAATAAATTAAGGGGAAAATACAGAGAAAGATGTCTATGTCAGAGAGTGGGGGAGGAAGAGCCCAATGACATAGGCCATAAGCAAAGGGGAAAGGGCTAAGAGTTGTGGGGGGGTTAGCTGAGTAGATTATGGGGGGAACATAAGGGTTTTGACAAGAAATGGAAGGTAGTGGTGGGGAGGGGGTGGACTGGAAGCACTTGGGGAAGCAGGCAGCAGCTGACAGAAAGGGTGTCTTAAAGAGACCCTGGCTGAAGCTGGCATATGGTAGTGGGAAGTATAGAAAATATAGGAAACAAGTGCATAGAGAACCCAGTTTCCTTGGTCCCATTGCTCACCAAGCAACCGGTTAATAAGCTTTGGAAAACCAGAGACATCCCAGAAGACTGGAAATTAGCTATGCTCTGCCTATATTTGTGAAGAGCAAACAGAAGACCTAAAAATTTCCAGGCAAAGCAACAGAGGAGCTGATATGAGATTCTTCAGTCAACGCCAATCAGCATGATTTTGTAAGAAACTGATCTTGCTGCATAAACTTGTTTTGTTCTTGTTAGGCTTTGATGTGACTACAGGTCTGTTTGGAAAAGGTGACGACTTAGATCTATCCAGGCTTTTGGAAGCATTAATACCCCAAAGCATTCTGGTGAAAAAAATAGCGTTATGCAATGTTAACAAATCAGGAGATTAAGTGAGCTGGTTCAGTGCATTTAACTACCTAAAAATGCAAAAGGGCTTGTCCCTGGAAGCCCACCATTGAGCAGCAGTGTCTCTTATGTGCTTCTGCAGGAATGAGTCCTGCCTGGGTCAGGCATGATTCACCATTTTCTTCAGTGTTTAGGGAGCAGATGTAAAGTTCACTCTAATACAATTCACTGATGACACAAATATTTTTAGAGTGTTAAAAATAATGAGGCTAGAAACAGCATAGAATGACCGACTGCTCTCAGTAAGGTGGTCATTCACATAAAACTTCTTTTAAGATAGTCAAGAGCAAATCGCACAGCTATGAACAGGAAAAAAATTCCATATCTACAGAGAACTTTCAGTCCTGAAAAGAGGTGTTCAGAAAAAGATTTAGGGATCATAACAGGCAGAAAAATCAACACAGGCCTGGTGTGCCAGGCTGCAGCAACGGATCTGATGTGATCCTTGGCATGCAAATGCTGGACTAAGGAGGAGACGTAAGGAGATGATTACACCTCTCCCTGCGACATGAGTGAGTCCCACCCTGGAAAACTGCACGCTACTCTGTGGTCCATATTTTAAAATTAACATTGAATCAAAAATGATCTGACGGCTGGTGATCTTAGTAGTTTGAAGAGGTCAATCTGTTTAATTTATCAAAAAGCAGAAAGAGACATGACTTGATTACAGTATCACTTCCTTCCTAGGGAAAAGTCTACCAGGTATGCTGGCAGAGAATAACAAGAGCTAGTCGCTGGAGGGTGATTAATCACAAAAACAAACTACCAAGTGAAGTGAAATATCCTCTGTCTCCTGAAGTCTTTGAATCATGACTGGAGGCCTGTCTGGAAGATCATTCCTGATCTGCAAATTCCTGAAGGCTGTGAGAGCATGTGGGAGGAAAAGTTACCACGCAGTCACCCTCTTCTTAAATTCCTCTGTAAGCGACTACTACCGGGCTACCTTAGGTATAATTAGATACAAGTCTTATGTCCCTGTGCGCAGTAACCAAGTATGGGTTATAGGGCTCAAAACTTTCTGGATCATGTTGCTATCCAAGAGGTTCACCCCACCTTCCTTTGTCCTCAAAAAGTTTTTGGCTCAGAGTTTGTCGTGCTTATGCACAGCTGTGAAAAAAACATCTGTGAAGATGTGACCTGGGCTTAGTTTGGAGAAGAACTGGGAAAAAATATCCTCAGCATTTGGACAAGATCTTCAGATTCTGCAGTAGTAAAGACATAAGCAAGTTGTAATGATACAGTATAACTCTACAGGCTTTAAAGTGGGACAGTAAGGACGCAGGGAAAGAAGGTGGTTCTACGGCAGGGAGAGAGGACGGTGGGTTCATTCTGTGAAGATCAAAGTAAGATCAAGAGAAGAGAGGGATGATGCTAGAGGTGGTTACAGAGACGATCAGCAACCCTGAACACTCAGAAGTAATAACACATAACCTCCCAGTATGATAAGATTTACTTTAAAAGTAATGAAATGTTGTAAAGCCATATATATTTTCATCTGCATTCTTTGCCTCTTACTTTTGACTCTTGAGATTACACAAAGATCACATTTCACAGTTCCTCTGTAGCCATAAAGAGAGGAGTTTGCTCAGTTAACAAGATGATAGCAGGGGAGTTAACAACTCCAGGAGTTCGGAATTTAATCTCAGTGCCTGATTCCCTGATCTAGGGAGGAGGCAAAGACTTTGCCAAGTTATGGGCAAGTTGTGAATGCCTTCTAGCGAGAGTTTGTACACTTTAGGAAGAGGAGGGTCTTCTCCTCTGGAGAGCTCAGCATGTGGTTCATTCACAAGACCTTCTTTTCTTTGCCTTTGTTAATACAGGCAGGACAAGGAGGGAGCAGAACAACCGTGGGGACCAATCTAATCCAGCACACCAGACCTAGGGGGTCAGAGTGAAGGAGGAGGACAGAGGCAGAATCGTGCCGCGAGGATGCTCAGGCTGCCCAGCTTTATCTGACTAATAATGAAAGGCAGCAAGCGTGTCAGAGAATGTGAGGGAAACAGATCGATAGAGAGATAAAACTGAGATGGAAGAAGCTGGCAAGGGGGTGGGGAAGAGAGTAATAAAACACTACAAGTCAACGCGGTTACATTTTAACCTGATTTGTATGCTCCCTGCGCTGGTGTAAATGAAGGCATCAGGTGTAAGGCCAGGGTGAATTAGGCCTAAATACAGAAACAGAGGTGTAAAAGAATGAAGGAGACAGACCTCTTATTAATACTGCCCTGTAACCTGCCTTCACAGCTCCGACCCTACCTTAGAGGCCCTGCTTCCTCTGTAATCCTGCTGTATGGAGAAACCAGGACCTCGTGAGCTCTGAGAATACACATCTGTGGCCTTTCCCTGATTCACTGGACTACTGTGATCTTCATCTTCTCCCAGAGCAGTGACACTGCATCTCAGTCGCATTATCCCAGGCGGAGCACAGGAAATGCTCCTTATGGCCCTGTTCACTGAGGATCTGGGGCAGGGCAACCTCTGACACTGCCTGCTTGCTAGCCGGTGGGCACTCTGCTCTCTTCTTCCAGCAGTAGCCTCAGCACCGAGACCAAACACTGAACACACCTCAGAGGCTGAACCCCCTGAATATGGCTCGGGACAACACGTATGGCTGTAGACACGAGCTTGGAGTAACCCTCCCGTTACTCAGGCTGCACCTTCGCTGCGAGACCTGATAGCGTGAGCCCTCGCAGCAGCCACGGGCTGCGTTTTGGAGCACAGTGCCCCAAAGGAGGCTTCTCCAAAACCCAGCCACAGCAGCTGCAGGAGAAGCAGCAGAATCAAAGCAAGTAATGAGAAGGAAAGTAAGGCCTTTACAGACTTAGACGTTACCTAGGTGAAGATTTCAAGACGTTATGCGTATAGTATAGAAGTCTGGCACCGGACCACTCCACTGTCTTTGATATGTGCCGAAGACCTCTTACTCGCAAGCATGTGTTGGAGTGCAAACCTGGCCCGACTGCCTCAAGTTTGAACATAGTAAAAACATGCTGCCTGAGACCACGTCGGCTGGACGGCTGCTCCTGTCGGCCTGTTGCCACCTTTGCTTCCGTCTCAAGATGTCCCTGAAATCTGGAAGAAACCAGCTGTGGGAAAGTCAGTACGGGGCTGGAAATGAATGTTTCCCGACTCCTCTGCTCCCTCAGCCCCCCTGACAACTCCTCTCAGCCCACCGCACGATTGATGCACAAGACAAGACCTATCAAGATTATACAAAATGACCCTCTCTTTCCAGCCCAATCACCCCCACCCAAAACGTTTCTTTCTCCTGGCAGAGGGCCAACCCCCGCAGCGAGGCC